CCAACCTAATTTTTGTAATTTTAATACAGATGGGGTTTCAGCATGTTGGCCAGGCTGGTCTTGAACTCCTGACCTCAGGTGATGCACCTGCCTCGGCCTTCCAAAGTGCTGGGATTAAAGGTGTGAGCCACTGTGCTCGGCCTGGAAGTTAGAAGTTTAAATACCAGCCCTTTTTCACCCTCAAAAAATACTTTGAGTGGTAGTTTCTTTTGTTACAAAGGCTGATTGCCTGTTCACATCACAGTATCTTAAGTTGGAGCTTTATTCTTTAACTAAACTTTAAAGTATTAGATCATACGTTTAATTCTCATTTTAGAATCTATTTCCATTTCTTCAGTTGTTGTGGATTTATTGAACTATCAGAAAGGTGGATAAGTCCTCATTTAGCTAAACTGAGTAGACTCAGACATGCAGAGTCACTGTCCCACAGCCCAAACAAGGCCTTTCCCTCCTAGAGAAATGTGTACTTTATTTCTTCCAGGTGTCAAGTTACATCAAAGAGCAAACTCAAGACCATTTTCAGATGATAGTCATCTCCCTAAAAGAAGAATTCTATTCCAGAGCTGATGCACTAATCGGCATCTATCCCGAGGTAAAGATAAATTAGAGGGGAGAGGAGTGTACTCACTGTCAACTTCCCTTAGTACCCTGACATCCACCTTTTATAATTAAAACTTCCAACAGAGTCTGAGGCTTAAATGATTTTTTTAATCAAGTAAGATTAAAAGTAACTACTGGTGTTTTCCTTGACACTATATATACATACACACTTTTTTTTTTTCCTGTAAGGTGTTTAAGTGTGCATGATAGTGACTATAAATATATATATATATATATATATATTTTTTTTTTTTTTTTTTTTTTTTTGAGACGGAGTTTCGCTCTTGTTACCCAGGCTGGAGTGCAATGGCGCGATCTCGGCTCACCGCAACCTCCGCCTCCTGGGTTCAGGCAATTCTCCTGCCTCAGCCTCCCGAGTAGCTGGGATTACAGGCACACACCACCATGCCCATCTGATTTTTTTGTATTTTTAGTAGAGACGGGGTTTCACTATGTTGACCAAGGATGGTCTCGATCTCTTGACCTCGTGATCCACCCGCCTCGGCCTCCCAAAGTGCTGGGATTACAGGCGCGAGCCAGACAATATATATTTTAAGTGAAAAAAGCAAAGGAAAAATTGCAGAACAGTAAGTAGGATAGTTTTGTTTTGTGAAATAGTCTGTTAATTTACATAAACTATTATACTTATTTCTGTAATATTTCAGTGTTTTAAGCAAAAACGAATTGTGCTGTGATAGAGCAAGGAACCATTTATCCTCCAAAATATCAGAGGACAAAACAAATTCATTAGAAGTTCCAAGTTGTATAGTAACTTCTAAAATGTGAACACACCTTTCTCAAGCCATTGAAAATACTAACCTGAACTGATGGAGTAGAGCAACTAGTTCAGTAGAGCACACTAGTTGAGGTCACTTGGTTTTAGACAGTTGTTAGGATTTATTTCCTGCATTTTCTTTTAAGCCAAGATAAAAATTAATTTACCTTCTGTGCCTACAGAATGTTAGGGGACCACCTGGAAATATAACGCATGAGTAATGGAAATTCTCATACCAGACAGTAACAGAAAACCCACAACCAACGTAAATGCAGATGATACCTTTTTAGGTTTAAGAAGATTCCTTTGAATGCAATTCTAGACTCACTAATGGCTCTTATTTGACTTTAATAATCAGGGGAACTTAACTGTCTTCTCTCCATTTTAGTACGATGACTGCATGTTCAGCCGAATTTTGACCCTAGATCTTGGTCAGTATCCAGACACTGAAGGCCGAGAAAGCAGCAAGAGGCACCAAGAGTCCCTCTAGGGGCAGTCGTGAAGCGGCGGCCTGATCACTCTTCAGTTCCCACTCTAATACTCAAACAGCTCCTCCACTGCAGACTTCTGGAGCAAGCAGGACCAGCCTGGGCGCCCCTTAAGAGAACCCTTAGTAGTTCTAGCCAGAGAGGCTGTAGCTCACCTCTTTTGAGTGTTCACACCCCATTCTAGTAGGGAGTTTTCCGTGAGAGCTGGTGTTCAGTGAGTTTTAAAAAAGAGAAAAGGTAGAATTTTGTACTATAATTCTAACTTCTATTTTGAAATAAGCTAGTCTGGTTGGAAACATTTTGAATTCTGCTTCATCTTCACTCTGATCTTGCCTTGTACCCAAGTAATCTCTAAGGGAGCTACTCTTGGGTTTTAAATATATAAGATTGTTAAACTTTTGAAGCTGGATTTTGGGAAATTTTTCAGAGAAACTATGTTAGTATTGAAAAAAATAAAAAAAGAGTTGTAATTTCCAATGTCTCCAATGTAGAATTTTTGAAGCCAAAAAAAGTTTAATGGTGAAATTGAATGATGCCTGTTTCAGTGCAATTTGGATTTTTCTGAATAGAATTTCTGTTAAGGAAATATTGAAGAACAGTTTCTCAAGTGACAACTGACATCACCACTTAAAAACATCGTCATGTGAAGGAAAGCTGCACCTTCAGTACATTTCCATTTCAAAATGAAACAAGACAGGCTGGGCATGGTGGCTCATACCTATAATCCCAGCACTTTGGGAGGCTGAGATGGGTGGACTGCTTGGGCTTAGGAGTTCAAGACTAGCCTGGTCACCATGGTGAAACCCTGTCTCTACTAAAAATACAGAAATTAGCCAGGCATGAGGGGGCGCACACCTGTAACCCCAACCACTTGGGAGGCTGAGGCAGGAGAATCACTTGAATCCAGAGGCAGAGGTTGCAGTGAGCCGAGACTACACCACTGTACTGAGTAAAAGAATCTGACAACACTTTCATGTAGCGAGAAGAATGTCCTCTGAGGGGGATGTTACATCTCACAAAGATTGGGTTCCTTCCCTGAGGGGACTTCCGGTACAGAGAAAGGCTGACCTCCGTGAGCTGCAGACAGCAGGAGACACTCGAACTTCTCCTGTTTTTCTTGAGACAGAGTTTTGCTCTGTCGCCCAGGCTGGAGCACACTGGCACAGTCTCGGCTCACTGCAACCTCTGCCTCCCTGGTTCAAGCGATTCTCCTGCCTCAGGCTCCTGAGTAGCTGGGACTACAGGTGTGCGCCACCATGCCAGGCTAATTTTTTTATTTTTTAGTAGAGATGGGGGTTTCACCATGTTGGCCAGGCCAATCTCGAACCCCTGACCTCAAGTAATCCACACACATCAGCCTCCTAAAAGTGCTGGGATTACAGGTATGAGCTACCATGCCCTGCCTTAAAATGTAACCATTTTTAAATGCAATAGCTCTTCTAGCTTGAGGCAGCAAACAGCAGGGCCAACTTTGTTGTCTCCTGATGTGATGTTTCTCACTGACTCAACTATACACAAGTGCCTTATTGGAGTTGCCTCTAATCTATCGATTGCATTGGAATAAACTTACATTCCGTAACGAGCATACAACAGAACGAACTGTAGATGCATCCATGGGGTACAGCAACATGGCTGCATCCTCCAGCACAGCACGCAAAGCTTTTCTTAAAATGGGCTGTAACAAGCTTTCCATCCTAGTGCATAGCATCCTCTATGCTTGTAGTTTTGCTACACCCTGTGTCTGGCCAGCTCTCAGATTCAGATATTCTCTGATTGCAAAAAAAAAAATCATTTATGTTTGCTCTTTAAAACATTTAAACACATTCAAATAAACATTAAATTGACTTCACATTTGGGTGGCAACTCGAGCTAAAAATTCTCATTAAGTACATTCTGGCGAGCCTTGGCGTAACTAAAACACTGAGCACACAGGGTTGAAGTGACCATTTTATTTATGGCCGGAGTGGCATAAAAGATGCGTTTTCCATGCATCAAAAAGAAAAAAAAAAGTCTCGGGCAGGTCTCTGGGCTCTGTCCCTATGCATCCTATCCTTCTGTTTCCTGTTCTTCTGTACCTTCTCTGTACCTGTGTGAGTCATCAATGGGGAGTGTCACAGGGCTTGGTAAGAAATGCCACATTGAAGTGACCTCAAACTGAAACCAGGCAGGGCTGCCTGTTTCCAAAGAGAACCCTCCACTTTAGTGCCGCTCATACCTCACCACGGAAGCTCTGCCAGGTCAGTTGGGGAAGCTCTCTGGGCCCCAGCAGAGTGCCCAGCACAGCTGTTTCATGGGAGTGAACCCTGAAATGGTTTCAAGTGTTGCAGGCCCCTCCCAAGTTTTGCCTCCCTCCCTCTGTGCAAACTCCCTTAACATGGGAAACAGTAACAGAAAGACTGCAGCTTACCGCAGCGAGCCAAGACTTGCACAGCTTGGAATTTAGTGTTTGAAACCTGGTCTCGTGCGTCCCTTGTGCTGTCCTGGTTGTGAGTCCCGCAGTGGCCCTGCACAATGCTGGCCTGAACTTCTGAAAAGGGCCTCCAGCTCTTCCGGTTTCACAGTTCTTAGCAACATCAGACCTGTGTTTCTTTGGAACATAAGTTACTAAAACGACCTAATTCCAAAGAAGCCCTTTTGATCCAGGTGTTCTTTCTAAAAACACCATTTTCACGAGTGGATTCATTCTTTACAACTTAACAGTGGAACAAACATACCTTTAAAATGTTTTCTATAGTGACATGTTTCCACATCAAAATTATAAAACGTGTCTATTTCGCCAGCGCAGTGGCTCACGCCTATAATCCCAGCACTTCGGGAGGCTGAGGCAGGCAGATCATCTGAGGTCAAGTTCAAGACCAGCCTGGCCAACAGGGTGAAACTCTGTCTCTACTAAAAATGCAAAAATTAGCTGAGCGTGGTGGCAGACACCTGTCACCTCAGCTACTCGGGACACTGAAGCAGGAGAATCACTTGAGCCCACGAGGTGGAAGCTGCAGTGAGCCAAGATCACGCCAGTGCAACCCAGCCTGGGCGAAAGAGCAAGACTCCGTCTCAAAAAAAAATTTTTTTATATGTATATATATATATATATTTTTTTCCTTATTTTTAATTTGGTAGCTACGGTTGCTTGGACAGTCTTGACGCTCCCCTTTTATTAGGAAAAAGTACCACCTTGACAAAAGTGCGCCTGTCAGACGGGAACGGGGACAGCGGTTTCCACCCCTTCCCACCGATTACGGCCCCGGAGGTAGCTGTCCATCAGTCTTCGCAAAGTCCACCTGAAGTGTGCCCGTGTCGCCTCCTGCACGGGTCTACACACGGGAGTCCTCTCACCCACCCTGAGGGCCGCACCCCCATGTGGCGCGCTCGGTGTCTGTGAGTGTTTCGCAATCAGATCCACGTGGAGTTCTCCGTACATTCCTCTTGGTTTGGGCACGGTGGTTACAGAAGGCTGGTTTTCAAGCTGCAAGTTTTACTGGCTTTGAGTATTTCAAGACCCTCCAGCATCATCTGTTTAAATAAAAGAACAAAATTCCAAAGGGTTAAAGTCCAGCTAAAAAAAGTTATTTACAGATTTCTATTTCAGAAACTGCTTTACAGTTGTTCTTACGTGCTGAAGACTGAAAATCCCTCTAAAATGGAAACCAGCCGCTAGCTGGAAATGGCCTTGTGTAATTATCAATACCATCAGGGGATCAAGTAAGCGATGACATTACATTTGCAAGTATCTGTGGGAACTTCAGTCCTTGAACACGGATGCTCTTTTCTTTCTTAGTGGGCTGAAGATGGGGCAGTCTCGACACGCAGTGAGCGCGCCTGCTGAAATGGGAAGCACGAGCTGTCGGCTGCTCTGGGCTCTCCAGGCGTGGCTTCGCTCTCGCGTGCAGGACAAGGCTTTCTGTGCGACACGGGCCAGGGGCTTCGCCCTGAGGAGACGTGACTGCCTGGGGAGAGCTGGGGCTGCAGTGCAGGGGATGGCGTCTAGGAGCACAGCTCTCACGGGCACTGAAGGCCACACCCGCCCAGTGCTCTGTAGCAAAGTCGACCAGGCAGGAGGCCCTGCACCCGGTGTGCGCGCCAGGCAGAGGTAGGCCACGGGGCGGGGGACAAAATCTACGTGCACACAACAGAAGAAAGCCAGTCTATGGAGGAAAATCGCCCGGGCCTTCGTTCTTGTCAGCAGGCACCGGAGAAGCCCAGGTCAGCAGAAAACAAAACTAGGAGCCGGAAGACAGCAGTGGTGAAGAGCCGCCTTCCCGGAGGAACGGTTCACAGAACACCCGTCTTGTTGTTTTTACTTAGTTATACACGGTTCTACCAGCTGAACTCACGATCCAAATATTTGCAAAAAGATTTCAAACAGTTTGATCCAAAACACCATCAAAATCGAATTCTCTAAAACGCGTGTGCCCCCAAGTGCACTTGAAGTTGTCTAAAACTTTGTTTTACGTGGAGTCTCCCTCTGTCACCCAGGCTGGAGAGTGCGGTGGTGCGATCTCGGCTCACTGCAACCTCCGCCTCCCTGGTTCAAGTGATGCCCCTTCCTCAGTCTCCCAAGCAGCTGGGACTACAGGTGTGCGCTACCACGCCTGGCAATTTTTGTGTTTTTAGTATAGATGGGGTTTCAGCACATTGGCCAGGCTGGTCTCAAACTCCTGACCTCAGGTGATCTGCCAGCCTCGGCCTCCCAAAGTGCTGGGATTACAGGCGTGAGCCACTGTGCCCAAGCGAAGTTGTATAAAACTAAACGAGAGGATGCCAAGTCTGCGACAGCTGCCCCTCACAGCTCTTCCACAGGACCACACCAGCTCACTCTCACCTTCCCTGCCCCCTGGACCGGCAGCACACTGTGGCACCCCCACCCCCTGCCGCCAGCCCTCCTTGCGCTGTGATTCACTCTGAAAGTGGCCCTTTTACAACTGCCTTGTTTTTTTCAACTCAGTTTGCATTCACTATGAATCTTTGTAACATGTACTGTTGCACGTGGTCCCTGTGGTGCTGAAGGGCACACAGGGACACAATACTGCTCCAACACACCCACTGAAGGATTTCAATGTTCAGTGAAGAGGTAATTGAGTAAGCTGGATGCTTCATAGCTCTCAGAAATTTTCGGTGGACTGCTATATAGGTATTTAAGAGTGTTTTACTTGGGGTTACTTATATAATAAAATATAAACTCCTGTTGTATGAAAATCCTTTCTCCCAACGTTTTCAGGAATGTAGCAGGATCAGATAAGAAGGTGGACTTCCGTCTCGAGAGTTCTCACAGCCAAAGGAAGCAGATGCTGAGAAAGGGTAACTAAGAAAATCAGAGCTCTCAGAAACAAGATCACAGGCAAAGGAGAAATGTAACCCAAGGACTAGAGCATCATCTGAGAATCCCCCAGGAGGTATGAAAAAATGAGTATTAAGAGACATCAGAGAAAATGTACAAGACAGTGGAAATCAACCCAGGAGATCCCAACTAGGATCCTAGAAAGGAGAGAAGCAGACTGTTCCAGGAGAAATGGAAGAAGAGAACACCCGCGTAAGGCAGGCAAGAAAGATTTCCGCCCTCATTCTCACTGAGTATCTGAACATCAAGGGAAAAGAAGATCCTAAAAACTCCCAGGAAAAAAAGCAACAGGCATCTTCAAAGCACTGGGAACCAGGTTCCCATCCGACCCTCTTCACAGGAAACCTGGTCTTCAGACAGTGGAGTCCGGGGAAATCATACCCAAGGATCCCAAGCCCAAACCACCGCCGGGCATGAGGACGGCACAGCCGCCTGCAGGCACGCGGTGCTCAGGAGGCGACCCCACGCCCGGGTCTGCAGAATCGGCCTCGGGAGGCAGCAGCAGGCCGGACCCGGAGCAGGGAGGCCAAGAACCAGCGAGCGCCGGGCCTCCGTCTCCAGGACGCAGGGCCGCTGGCGAGGCGGCCGGCCGGGAGGTGCCCGGGAGAGGCGGGCGGGCGGGACGAAGAGAAGGGACACACGTTTAGAAACTCTTCTACTCAGCTCTGGAATGCACACATTTAAGAATATTGGAGGCCGGGCGCGGTGGCTCAAGCCTGTAATCCCAGCACTTTGGGAGGCCGAGGTGGGTGGATCACAAGGTCGAGAGATCGAGACCAACCTGGTCAACATGGTGAAACCCCGTCTCTACTAAAAATACAAAAAACTAGCTGGGCATGATGGCGCATGCCTGTAATCCCAGCTACTCAGGAGGCTGAGGCAGGAGAATTGCCTGAACCCAGGAGGCGGAGGTTGCGGTGAGCGGAGATCGCGCCATTGCACTCCAGCCTGGGTAACAAGAGCGAAACTCTGTCTCAAAAAAAAAAAAAAAAAAGAATATTGGGAAATGTGATTTTTTGAAAAACAAAGGGGAAGGAAGAACCTAAGAATTCCTCAAAAAGTCAGAAGTGACACACATCTCCAGGCCGCGGCGAGAAACGGTAAGAAACACGAGAAGGCGTGTAAGGAACAAGCCACACTCGGCGCTGGCGTCGAGAACGCGTCCAGAATGCGCCACTGGGGCAGGCGCGGTGGCCCCGGGCCCACGGACACGGCCACGCGGCGGCCGGGCGGGGAAGAACGCGGACAGCGTTTCCGTCAGGTCGGCGCTCTTGCTTTCCGGCTTCCACACACCACAGACGGACGGGGGGTCTCCCTTCCCTTTGGTCCCGACCCCACAGAGACGGGCACAACACAGAAGCGGCGGGTTCTAGGGCGGGACACGGAAGCGGGGGCCCGTCCAGCGCGGGCTTCAGTGGGAAGCGTGGCTTAAGTATGTTACGTAAAGGATGAGAAGGGACACACGGCACCAGCCGCACCTGGCAGGAGGCGGCGGCGGAGGGCGCAGGCGGAGGGGCCGGCCCCAGCCAGCGAGGCGGCCCTTCCCGGCTCAGCAGAGAGGCCTATTCAAACTCGCTGTTTGGACAGCGTTCAGTCACTGAAATCCTAGCCTGTCACAGAGGCAACAAAACTCAAAGGATTTAAAGTGGCTTTCTCCAGAGACCTGGGTGGCATGAACCAGGCTAGTGGTCACCCTGGGGCCGGGGAGGCTGCAGAGTGGCAAACGGGTCGTGGCATGGCTGCTTCCAGAACTGGGTGTGATTGGATGCCAGAGTTCACTCTGCGGAACTGCACTGAGCTGACCTGACCTGATCTGCGCACTTTTTATTCACCTTCTGAAACTTTCCGTTTTGGAGAGAGCACCCTTCTGCCTGCCGCACTCCCGTGACATAACTAATCAACAGACATTTCCCTCTGGGGAGCTGGAATGGGGTTGGGGTGACAAGTCACGTTCTCCGCCAAGCCTCCCGTGCCCTGTGGCCCTGACAGAGTGTATGCACCTCCCACTCGGGCCTGGGGCCTTAGGCTGTGGCACTGCCCCCGAAGACGCCTGCCAACAAGCCAGACCTTAGGCAGCTCCCCACAAAAGGAAAGCCACAGTACCAGTATCTGGTCGTCTGAGTTTTTTTGAAACTTCAATTCCATTCTCTTCCGACTTCCTCTTTGCACAGTCCTGGCATGTTTTACCTGGAAGAGGAAACTTCGTAAGAAGCTTGTTGATTTAGAATCCACCCGCCAAGGCACAGTCGTAGATGCGGCCTTCCTGAAGCACTGGCCAAACCAACGTTACCCCGTGCTACAGACGGTCTCCGCCACATTACTGCTGCTTTCAAAAGAAACCACGGTTCCCAGAGTCGCATTTCAGAAACCCACTATAATAAAGATGTCCGTTCACACGGGCGTAGCAGGCAATAGGAAGCTGACTGCGCTGCTCTGATACTTCCCGCACCACCAACACGGATGCGATGCCAGCGGCCCCCATACCGAAGCGCATTTTCTCATCGGTGAACGCACTGGGAAGATGGGCCTCCGCACCGCCGACAAGGGCCCCTTTTACCCAAATGACTCAGCAAGAGGAAAAACACCTGGTGCCCACTTCACACACAAGGGGCGGGGTGGGGGGTGCACGCGGCACTCACAGCCACTGAGTCTTGTTAATTTATAAACGGACAGAATTGAGCCCCGTGAGAAAAGTATTCACATTTCAAATGAGTAGGAAATACAAAAGATTCTGTGTGAAAGCTCAGACCCCTGCAATGAGAATTTCTCAGGAGCTGGGTCCTTCTAAGGCACGGACGGCATCTTGCACCACACGGTACCACACAAACAGAGCCTGCTGTTCCAACTCCCCTGTCACTCTTGCTTCTAGGGCAAGAAATTATTCTCAGGAGCCAGCTGGCCCACGTGATTCGGCTGTGCCCCCTCCTCAAAGGGATGGCTTTTCGTCTCTTGGTGTGGGAGGGCCATGCTAAGGCATGCCGATGTATCATCTTCAGTGGGGCTGTCTTAATACAGGCTAATCATTTAACGTGAAAAACAAATGTTTATGATTTTACAGTGAGTGACAGGAGACAATGGCGTGTGTAGGCAAAACACAGGCTGGCGAGAAGAAAGATCTGCTTTACCCAAGAATGTAGTGCTGTCCACTCCATCGGCATCTGGAGGAGAAAGAAAAGCAGTCAGTGGAGCCGAAACGCCAAAGCTCGTCCTCCTCAGGCAGCTCTTGCTCCAGTGCCCAGCCTGGGATGCAGTGGCCTGATCACAGCTTGCTATAGCCTGGAACGCCTGGGCTCAAGCAATCCTCCCACCTGAGCATCTCACATAGGTGGGCCCACAGATGTGCACCACCACACACCCAGCTCATTTTTTTAAAAATGTTTTTTGTAGAGACCAGATCTCCCTATGTTGCCCAGGCTGGTCTTTAACTCTTGAGCTCAAACAATCCTCCTGCCCCAGCCTTCCAAAACGGTGGGATTACAGGTGTGAGCCACCAAGCCCAGCCTGGAGTTAAAGTTTAATTACAGACTTGTCACTAGGACACCAATCACTTCAATCTTCTAATTTTAAATTACAGAGGCAGTTTGAAAAAATAATAACAGGAAGATTGGTGAATTTTATGGGTATGTGAATTACCTCAAAAAGAGAAAGAAACAACTAAAAGAGCCCTATGAGTTTTGTACTTGAAAAGTGAAGACAGGCCAGGCGCAGTGGCTCACACCTGTCATCCCAGCACTTTGGGAGGCTGAAGCAGGTGGATCACCTGAGGTCAGGAGTTCGAGACCAGCTTGGCCAACATGGGGAAACACGGTCACTACTAAAAATACAAGATTAGTCGGGCATGGTGGCACATGCCTGTAATCCCAGTTACTTGGAAGGCAGGAGAATCACTTGAACCCAGAAGGCAGAGGTTGCAGTGAGCCAAGATCATCCTATTGCACTCCAGCCTGGGCAACAGAGTGAGGCTCAAGTCTCAAGGGAAAAAAAAAAAAAAAAAAAAAAAGTGAAGGCAGAATCTGTACCTGGGCTTCGCTGTCTGCAGATCTGAGTGGCAAGGTCTTGCACATATCCTGGAAAATAGTCAAAACAGTCCCCGTAGGATACAACTTTGATTCCATGCAAAAGCATATCTGCCTGATGCTTAAAGAAATGGTCTTCATTCTCCTTCAGCACAAGCATGTAGTGCTCCAAATCCACCTTATTCGGCACAGAGTAAAGAAAGAGGGCCTGGAATATCTGATCACGAAGGGTCTCTCCACAGCCCACAAACAGAAAAGACTTGGTACGGTATAAGTTCTGGAGGACTTCCTAGAAAAAGCCAATGAAGAAATCAGGTACTCATCTGAAAGACAGCAAGAGCTTACGACTAACCAAGTCACACGCGTGTGCTTTTCAATCACTGCCCCCGACACGCTGTTCCCAGGGCCACACTGAGGAACATGGAAGGACAGGATCCTCTCCCAACATGGCACTCAAGTCACCCCACAGCAGCAGCCTGTGGCGGCAAAAACCAAAGCTGGGCTGAGCCCGCGTCTCCCCACCTGAGCTGGGGCACCTGGTCTTTGGCTGAGGTGGGCGGCAGTGCGCACGCCCCTTGCAGCAAGGCCAATCCATCGCCCACCTCGCCCACCCGCCAGGGCAATCACCCAATTCAAATTTTCTCAAATTAGGTACAACTTTAAATGACTAAAACATAAATGGGGACATTCGAATGTTTTCAGTTCAGGATTATGCACATGCAACACCCTAAAACTAATGTCTACCTCAATGGGTCATATGTGGGAACTCCTGCAGGGGCTGGGAGGGGGGGTCAACAGGAGAGGGTACTGCGAATGAGGGCAGGAGAGCTGGGGAGGGGATCAGTGACAGGGACCGAGGAGGTGGATGGGCACAGGGAAAGCAGATTGTGTAGGGTCACTCAGGCAAGCAGCAGAGACTCACCAATTCAGCTAACCAAATACCTCAGAGAGACTCAATTTCAGCACAGGTATTTCCTATAACCAAGCAGTATTAATTGTGCAACTGAGAAGCATCTGCCTAATCACTCATCTTACTGACACCTGCCACAGCATGACACAGGCCCAGGCGGGAGCCCTGAGGAACAGAACACCTGGCTGTGTGCTCCCGTGGGAATCCACAGAGACACCAAGTTTCTCAGTGCGTAACAGAAGCACGCTGTCCACACTTCACCGTGTCCAGGGAATCAAGAAGGCCTCACAGCCGGGAGTGGGGGTGCACACCTGCAATCCCAGGTTCTTGGGAGACTAAGGCAGAAGGATCCTCGGGCCCAGGAGTTCAAGGCTGCAGTGAGCTTTGATCATGCCACTGAACTTCAGCCTGGGCCACAGAGCAAGACCTTGTCTATTTAAGAAGAAAAAAAAAGCCTCATAGAGAATGAAGTTTTATTTACTTTTATTTTTTTTTTAGAAACGAGGTATCACTCTGTTGCCCAGGCTGCAGTGCAGTGGTGTGATCCCAGCTCACTGCAGCCTCTCCCTCCTGGACTCCAGGGATCCTCCTGCCTTGGCCTGACAAAGCGCTGGGATTACAGGCCTGAGCCACTATGCCAGGCCAAGAATGAAACTTTAAAACTACAGGAAGGAGCTGGGCACAGTGGCTCATGCCTGTAATCTCAGCACTTTGGGAGGCCAAAGCGGGTGGATCACAAGGTCAGGAGTTCAAGACCAGCCTGACCAACATGGTGAAACCCCGTACCTACTGAAAAACACAAAAATTAGCCAGGCGTGGTAGCGCATGCCTATAATCCCAGCTACTCAGGAGGCTGGAGGAGGAGAATCACTTGAATCCAGGAGGTGGAGGCTGTAGTGAGCCCAGATCACACCACTGCATGCTAGCCTGGGCAACAGAGCAATACTCCAACTCAAATACATAAATAAACAAACAAAATAAAAATAAAACTACAGGAAGGAGAGCAGAGCATTTCAGACCAGAAGATGCATGGAACAGAGAGAAGTGGAGAACATTCTAGACTGCACAGGGCCCTGTATGTCATGCTGAGGAGTTTCACTGTATACCTGGGCAGGTGAGAACCACAGAACGGCTGGGGCTTTTGGAGAGGGTAAGGTCAGACCTATGCTTTTAAAGGAATCATAGATTCCTTCCTCCAGCAAATGTTCGCTGAGCATCTATTCAACATGGAGGCACCATGCAGGGCCCAGAGACAGAGAGAAGAAGAGATGCGGCCCCTCCCTCAGCAACCGTGTGAAGGAGCGACCTGAAGGAGCGGTGGCCTGGAGCCCGAGATGCCCCTCCGACTGCAGCCAAATGGCCAGGGGTCACCACAAATTCCCCAGAGGATGCACCAGTGCTAATTAGGACGGACCCTACCATGACTTCCGGGTCCTGGGTGACATCTTTATACCCCGACGGATCCAACACCAGCCCACAGGGGTCTGTGTAGAGGCCGTGAATGTGAAGGACGCCGTACTTGATGTGTCCTCTCGCCCACTGGAGGACCTGTCAAGAGTCAAGACAAAGGAAAACGTCCTTAAACTATTACAAAGAGATAGAAAGTATTTCAATTCAATTCACAGTTTTTAAGCCGATCTTGGAAAGAATCAGAGATGCTTCACTTCAACCATTACACCTTCGAAACCTAAGAGAGACTCGGCTGTGAGCGCCAGTCACTCCCGCCCCGTGGCAGAACAATCACGCCTTCAAAACCCGAGAGAGGCCGGGCGCGGTGGCTCACGCCTGTAATCCCAGCACTTTGGGAGGCCGAGGCGGGTGGATCACGAGGTCAAGAGATCGAGACCATCCTGGTCAACATGGTGAAACCCCGTCTCTACTAAAAATACAAAAAACTAGCTGGGCGTGGTGGCGCGTGCCTGTAATCCCAGCTACTCGGGAGGCTGAGGCAGGAGAATTGCCTGAGCCCAGGAGGCAGAGGTTGCGGTGAGCCGAGATCGCGCCATTGCACTCCAGCCTGGGTAACAAGAGCAAAACTCCGTCTCAAAAAAAAAAAAAAAAAACCCGAGCGAGGATCGCTGTCAGCATCAGCCATGCTGGTGCCATGACAGCAAAAGAGCTGCTTCAGCTGGGCATGGTAGCTCATGCCTATCATCCCAGCTACTCAGGGGGCCAAGGCAGGACATTGCTCGAGCTCAGGAGTTCAAGACCAGCCTAGGCAACAACATGAGAACCCCATCTCAGGAAAAAAGAACTTATTTAAAGACAGACAGTTACACAGAAAGTATCTTTTTTTTTTTTTTTTTTGAGACGGAGTTTCACTCTTGTTACCCAGGCTGGAGTGCAATGGCGCGATCTCGGCTCACCGCAACCTCCACCTCCTGGGCTCAGGCAATTCTCCTGCCTCAGCCTCCTAAGTAGCTGGGATTACAGGCACACACCACCACGCCCAGCTAGTTTTTGTATGTTTAGTAGAGACGGGGTTTCACCATGTTGACCAGGATGGTCTCGATCTCTCGACCTCGTGATCCGCCCGCCTCGGCCTCCCAAAGTGCTGGGATTACAGGCTTGAGCCACCGCGCCCGGCCAGAAAGTATCTTTAACACCTGAGATTACAGCAAACTGTTAAAAGTGATTACTTTAGGTGCGTTATGAGGATTTTCACTTCTAAGTTATATATTTTAATTACTACTATTTCTGTATTACTTCTAAACGCCCAGAAAATATCTGTATCACAAATATATCACACATATATATCACACACACACACTCATACACACACACATATATATGAAGAAAAGTATTTATCAAACGGCTAAGCACATTCCTTTCCGTTCAAGACGCAGAACGCTGGACCTCATAAAGATGCCCAGCAGGTCAGTGTCTTCTTCACCCCACGGCCTGCACAGCAGCAGGACAACGGACACAAACACCGAGAGCCCCGCCGTCATCACTGGGCACTGAGCCAGCTGGCAGTTCTGTTTATGCAACTGGCCATTCATTTCCAGAGACAATGACCACAGCAAGCCTCAGCCGTGGCGACCGTGTGGCTCAGACACAGAGAGCAGGTGTCTATCCCATGGCACTGCTGGCAGGAGTAGATGCCCTGCCCGTATGCACCGCGCAGGGCAGGAGGGGACCAGGGGCTGCAGCTGAGCCCAGCCCTCACACTGACACCGAGAGATCATCTCTGTGTAATTGAGTTTTTGTCCAGAGCAGGGCCAGGGCCTCCTCTCACAAGGCAGCCCAGACAACACAGGCGGCAGTCTCAGTACGAGGAACATAAGCGGATGCACAAAGGTCCCAAGCATGTCATAAAAGAAATATCGACAGTCACAACGAAACCATGCTCAACCTTAAAAGAAATCAATGTTTAAATTTTTCACCTATCAAATGGACAAAGTGTATTTCATTTTGTTTTTTAATAACACCATGTGTTGGCAAGATACAGGAAATGGGTACTCCATACACAGCCACTGGGAAGGCATGCACCACCATGCCCAGCTAATTTTTGTATTTTTAGTAAAGACAGGGTTTTGCCATGTTGGCCAGGCTGGCCTTGACCTCTTGGGCTGAAGGGATCCACCCAACTTAGCCTCACAAAGTGCTGGGATTACAGGCATGAGCAACCACGGCTGGCCTCAGGTATTTCTTATACAGCAGCGTAAGAATGGCCTAAATAAATTACACTAGGAGCTACGATTGTGCCACTGCACTCCAGTCTGAGCAACACGGCAAGACCCTGTCTCTGAAAATAAAAAATAAAAGCAGGAAATATGAAGTCTTGAGACGCACAGAACACTGGCCCGTCGTTTCCCAGCGGCCCTGGGGAGAGGCCAGCTCGGCCTTTTTAGTCCTAGCATCTGGCTTTCCCGTGGAGCACAGTATTCCAGAGGCTGCCAGTGTGCCACCTCCCATTAGTACTTTTTTTTAGGATAAAGGGTCTCACTCTGGCACGCAGGCTGGCTGGAATACAATGGCATGATCATAGCTCATTTCAGCTCCTGGGCTCAAGTCATCTTCCCAACCTCGGCCTCCCCAGTAGCTAGGACTGCAGGCAGGCTCCACCACACCTGGCTCCTTGATTATTAATTCACTGCTATACAGTGAAAGCTGCTTCTAACCCACGGAGCTTCCACACACGCACAGCCCACCCGTGCCCCCAGCCCATACCTTCGTCTTGTCCTTCAAGTCCAGAGACTCCATGGGCTTGTTCTGCTGCTGGCCAAAGATCTCCAGCAGGTTGTCGTAGTTGGTGGTCAGGACCATGGTGCCCCTCTCCATCAAGCTGAGGATCGACTGCAGCACCAGAGGGTTCTGGATGTGCTGCTCCAGGCTGTCAAACACCTCCATCAGGCAGTCCTGGAAGAAGTTGGGCTTGGTGTCGCCTGTGCGCTACGGAAAGGTGGAATGAGAGTTTCAAAAACATCAGCCCCAACAACTATTCAGCAGGTAAGCAGGCCATGTTCTCTGGTGCCAGAGACACAGCAGCTAGAAACAAAGAAAACGAGGCTTCACAGAATGCATTAAAACTCCAGACCAGGGGACAGGCAACGCACACATGTGTAGCACGCCACCAGTGCCGCTGCCATGGGAAAGCAGAGCAGAAACGGGGGCAGGTGCTGTGGGTGAGGGTGGTCAGGACCAGGGCACCAGGGAAGCCTCTCTGAGAAGGGGAGGCCTGAGCAGAGGCCTGAGGAGGCGAGGGCTCCTGGACAATGTTCTAAGCAGAGGAAAAAGCCAGGGCCACAGCACAGAGGTCATGGCTCAGGCATGCCCAAGGTCAGCCAGAGGTCACTGAGGCAGGAGAGGAGTGAGGGGAAGTGTCAGCTGCAGAACCTGATGACCTGGGCTGAAGAGCACAGTACAGACTCTGGCTTTCCCCAAGAGCTGTGGAGTCCAGTTTGCTCTTTCTCGGTGGTGTACGAAACTGTGTGTCTTGATGGCACCCCTCCAATGAGGCAGGAGGTAGCGTTTCTTTTTTCTTTTTTTCCGAGATAGGGTCACGCTTTGTCGCTCAGGCTGGAGCACAGTGGTGCCGGGATAGTTCACTGCAGCCTCCAAGTCCTGGGCGCCTGCGAGCTTCCCACCTCAGCCTCCCAAGTAGCTAGGGCGACAGGTGCCACTACCACACCCAGCTCATTTTCTTTCCTTAAAAATTTATTTTTTAATTTTCTATATTATTTTATTTCATCTTATTATTTTATTTGAGACAGTCTCACTCTGTCACCCAGGGCGGAGTGCAGTGAGTGGCACAGTCACGGCCCACTGCAGTCTTGATCTCCCAGGCTCAAGTGATCCTCCCACCTCAGCCTCCCAAGTAGCTGGGACTACAGGTGCACAGCGTAACACTTAGCTAATGTTTAAAAAAGGTTTTTTTTGAGACAGAGTCTTGCTGTGTCGCCCAGGATGGAGTGCTGTGGCATGATCTTGGCTCACTGTAACCTCCCCTCCTGGGTTCAAGCGATTCTCCTGCCTCAGCCTCCCAAGTTGCTGGGATTACAGGTGTGCGCTACCACACCTGGCTAATTTTTGTATTTTTAGTAGAGACGGAGTTTCACCACATTGGCCAGGTTGCTCTCAAACTCCTGACCTCAAAGTACTGGGATTATAGGTGTGAGCCTATATAGGCCTAAAATTTTTTTTCATTTTTTTGTAGAGACAAGGTATTCCTACGTTTCCACAGCTCATCTTGAACTCCTGCCCTCAAGTGGTCTGCCCGCCTCGGCCTCCGGAAGTGCTGGGATTACAGGCGTGAGCCAGCACACCTGACCAGCAGTGTTGCAGACACTCTGAGAGAAGCCGGAGGGTCAGGCCTCCGGAGGCAGCTCCAGCGGTCTCCATTGGCCTCGGCAGGAGCTGCCTCTAAGGGGCCCCGAGAGCCGAAACCTGGCTGGATGGCTTCAGGAGAAAAAGGAACTGGTGATAGCAAATCCAACAGCCGTGCCTCCGAGCTTTGCTGGGAGGGGACACAGAGGCAGGGCGGGGGTGGGCCCGGGCCAGGCTCCCAGCCTCACCATCACCGTCTGCCTTGGCAGCTGGGCATCAAAATCCCTCCCCTCGCCCCGTGTGCCTGCTTGTGTCGCTCCGCCAGCACAACAAACCAAGACTCAAGGGTTCCCGCTCATCCCACTGCTCTTCTGACTCTCCCACCCCCAAAACCGTCCCCGCTGCTCCCAGTGGGTCGTGTCTGCCGTCAGCCAACTCCCACAGCTCCATCCTCTTCTGGGAGTGCTCGTCTCCTCCCCCACCCGAGACCTGGCTCTAAGTGTCCCTCTGCACTCCCTGCACCACTGAAGCTGGGGGCTGGGCTCCGGGCTCCCTGCACTCTCTCCAGCTGTGCCTCTGCCATCATTTGGGGTGACTCTCATGTCCGTTTGGGATCACGGCCTCTGAACTCCTCCCGCCACTCTCCTCCCATGGTCCCACCATGGTCCCAGCCCATCTCAGCCATTCACACACACAGCCACAGCCCAGATCTCATCATCACCCAGAACCTGGATCCTTTCCAGAACCTCTGGCCCAGCCTCCCCTGGCCAACCACTCCCCCCCAGCTCCCCACCTCTGTAGCACCTTGGTTCCCACGGAAACTTCAAGCCCACTGAGGCCTGTGGGCTACCGACCGTATAACCACCAACCACAGTCACTCGCTGCCCTCTGTCCTGCCTTCCTCCATTGAGCAGCTTAGCGTCTGTAACGTCTGTACACCACCCTCTCCCCCAGATACTTTCAAAGCCCCTCGCCCTTCTCTGGTATTGCTGGAATTCCTGATGCAACCAGCCCTCAATACAGCTGTGTCGACTGGCCTCACTTCAACACTCCCTGATGGAGGTTTTCAAAAACAAGCAAAAGTGAACAGAAGAGGTTCACTTTTGAAACTCACACACTCATTTTCAAGACAAATGATTCTCACTCTAGCCGGCCTCTCTCCATAAACAATTCTCACTCCAGCCGGCCTCTCTCCACATGAACAACAACAAGGGCCCTCCATGCTGCCCAGTGACCCCACCACCTTTCCTGGCCTCTCTTCTTCTTCCTGTGACGGGGTCAGCAAATGTTGTCTCTAAGGGCCAGAGAGTAAATATTTCAGGCCTTGTGGGCCATAAAGTCTCTGATGCAACCACTCACCTCTGCCTGGAGGCACGAAAGCAGCCAGACTGTACGGAAACACACCCAGGCCCAGGGCCGCACTTGTCCAACCCCTGGCCTCTGATGAGACTCAACCCTCATCAGTACAACACTCACATGTGGCAAAGTCACCTAACTAAAAACATTTCCCAAGCTCTGGCAAAGGTAGGTGCAGCCCTATGTGAAACTCTGGCAGAGGAGAGGAAACAGGAGCGGTAGGCGTGACGTTGGAGGCGGCCCGGAAGTCCCGAACTTCCCTCCCTCCTTCACTTCCCCCTTCCACGCACTCCCTGAGTAAGCAGAGTATTACCAGCTGCCCGCAGAGCACCAGATGGCAGCTGCCAGCACAGAGGGGCCCTGCCCAACCACCACTTTCTCCCTGGGCTGCCCACGTGGGTCTCTAGGCGGGAATTATGAAAGTGCTCACATGAAGCCGCACGGCTTCGGGTATCCTTCCACGGCCAGCCTCACCTCTCCCACTCTCCTTGGTGATGAGTTCACCTCTTTTCCTGCTTCCTCCTCTATGTTCACACCTCCAACATCTCCTCCCGACCTGACTCTCAGATGGTGACTGAGCCTCTTCAGTAAATACAAGAGTGGAAGACAATGACTGCGAAGAGCCTGCGCCACACTGTCCAGCATCCTGGCCTTTCTGTCCACATGCCATGGCCCACCTGGGACCACAGTGGCCTGCCACACACCTCACCCTGCAGCAGACCCTTCAGCACCGGGCCTTGCTCAGGAACAGCTCCTGCGTCACCAGCTGCTTCTCCTCTCAACTAGGTCACCTCCACCGCAGATGAAGAAGCTAGAAACTCTCCCATCTTAAAATGTTTTAGGAAGCACTTGTCATCTGAAGAAATATGGCTGGCCTGCTTAAACCAAACATGCCTAAGGGCTATTCCTTCACTGAATATAAAATCACAAAGTTCATACTGAGTGCAGCTGATGACCCCCCGAGACGGTCTCACATGGTCAGGCTCCATTTAACAGGAGCTGCTTCAGGAGCCCCACACTGCACTGTGCCTGGCATCCCTCAATTTTAAAAGATGACCCTCCGACGGACTCAAGGAGTTCTGGCTCAATAGCCCAACTCTGCTGAGCACTGAACACAAGATAGGCCTGCAGGAGTTTATCATTAGGTTCACAGACTCGTCCAGCCTGGTGCAGAACCAACTTGTCCCCAAGAAGCCAGAGGTACCTGTCTGACACTTACAGGTGACATCTTCCGGATCAGATCATGGGCAACAACCAGCAGGTCCCGATCCTTGGTCACCTTCCTCCGGAACTCGGCGACGTCCCCGGGGTGCAGCACCTCCAGCTGCTCTGCAGCCTCGATGACGGCCTCGATGCAGCTTCTCCAGGAGCAAAGGGCAGGGATGCCCGGGGCCACGGCCGCACTGACGCCAGTCCCGATAACCAAGAGCAGCTCCTGCGGCTGCTTCCGGATGAGGCTTTTTAAAAACTTTCTACTTGAAAACGAGGGAGGGAGAATGAAAGTCAAAGTGGAAACAGTGCAGGCACAAAGTGAGTTCAGGCAGGCCTTGTGCTGTCCGTGGACGGACATGGGGACACTCACTCACTCACACACACACACACACACACACTCCCCTCTTAACACTCTGGGGACACCGCCTGTGGACCCTTCTTCATGTATTTATTTCACATGTTCTACCCTGATTCCCTAAAGGATGTGGGACAGCTGTGTCTCATGCATCTTAAGTTGCCCAGTGTTAAGATCATGTTGAAGTGATATGTATTTGGGAACAAAAAGCTCAGCAATTTTCATTCCTTTGCAGCTGCACACAGCTTATGAAGACACATGACGACAAAATGACCCCTGCTTAACAGTGACAGATAAGAAAGTGAGCGGCAAAATGCTGGTTTTCTCCAATCTGGACCCGTTCTACAGTTAAGTGCTCTTTCTTGAGCTTCACAACAAAGCCTGCTGTCCGTCTATAGTCAAAGAGTTATTTCCTGGGAAGCACGACCCCTCCAGCTGGAGACGTGATCCCCCTAATGACATGTTGCTGGGCTCGGAGACTGGACTATGGCCGCTTCGCTGGGCGGAAAACTGCCTTCTGGAAGGTTTCGTACGCTGAAGCCTAGGCTAGGAAATGGCCCTGGAGGCCCCCTCGTGCCCCAATGTTTTCATTTCACTTTCGCCTTTGCAGGTGTTAAAGAACAGGTAAGCAGACTCATGACGATGTTACATGAAGTCAGTGAAGGTGCTGGAAGGTACAGTTGCCTTTAATTACCTGGATTTTTGTTCACTTCTATTTGCTGGCTTTTCCACTGAATCCATCTGTGAATTCTAAAGAGAAAAATTGGTCAGAAGTGACTTCTAATTCCTAGGTTAAAATTTTTATTTGCCGGGCGCGGTGGCTCAAGCTTGTAATCCCAGCACTTTGGGAGGCTGAGGCGGGCGGATCACGAGGTCAAGAGATCAAGACCATCCTGGTCAACATGGTGAAACCCCGTCTCTACTAAAAATACAAAAAAAATTAGCTGGGCATGGTGGCGCGTGCCTGTAATCCCAGCTACTCAGGAGGCTGAGGCAGAATTGCCTGAACCCAGGAGGCGGAGGTTGCGGTGAGCCGAGATTGCGCCATTGCACTCCAGCCTGGGTAACAAGAGCAAAACTCCGTCTCAAAAAAAAAAAAAAAAATTTATTCATCCCCTGGAAGAGAGTTAAGGCTAGAATTAAAATCAAAGGTCCTGGATCTTTATTTATATTAGAATACCTGAAGAATGTCACACGCAAATGACATACATCCAAAATGTGTCCTAAACCACCATTCCTCATCTCATGTGACTCATTAGGCTAGTCAGACTCTGCTGTTCTGCATGGGACAGCACAGAAGAAAACACACATGCAGGGACCCAGATGCAGGAGGGGGCTCCGTGGGTGTGGGGAACACTCCCGTGTGAGACCCCTAAAAGGCGTGAGTCTCACTATACGGTGAGTTTGATCCCAAACACAGTTTCCTACTGGAGGCAGTCGAGCTATCCGGAAATATAGGAACTGAAAGATGAATGATCAGTTTCTAATATCAACCACAATATCGTTTGGGCCTAAAATTATGCGTTGCTGCTAGACCGAGTGACCCCCTGCCGGCAACCGGTTCCTGCTTTTAACCTTTTTATGACTTTAAGATTAAGTTTTAACCTTTACTTACCTAACTGCCTTGTACCCTAGATAATGGTTTAACTGTCAATATTTGCAAAGCAAAATGCCACCATAAGGGATGGCTTTGATTCCTGACTCAGAGATTCCTGAATGGGGAAGTTGAGTTAAGTTGAGTCAGGAGTAGACAAAGGAGAATCCGATTAAAAGATATTCTGATGAGCAAAACCAAAAAACCTTTTCACATCTCAGTTCTAAAACGAGGTCAAACCAGAGATACCTGCAGCCAGGAGGAATGATGTTTGGATATAAACAAGCCTTGTGAACAATGTTTGGATATAAACAAGCCTTGTGAATAATGTTTGGATATAAACAAGCTTTGTGAATAATGTTTGGATGCAAACAAACTTTGTGATTGTAGAAAATTTTGTTACTTTTTACAACCATTGATCGCATATCTGACTTCTCTATTGTATAGGCCATGTGAGGCATACATTTACATTCCTCTTACTATGAGGTAAACCAAAGCCAAGAAAATGTATTTATTCCTGGCCTTTGAAAAATAAAATTTGCTGTTTAGGCACAGCCTATCAGCCCTTCAGACGCCTCGCTTTTTCTCTCTGTCTTTATTAATTTTCCAGGCGCACTCCCTCTTCCAGGTATTGGGACCCTCTTGCAGGTCGAGAGACCCCCGGGCAGACGTGCCTACCCGTCCCGGACGGTCCACGACAGTGGGCCCCAAGCTGGGGGTTCTGTGGTCTCTTCCCACACCACTCTAGAAGAACTTCCAGTGCACAGGAACACCAACGACTCATCACAGGAGCAAAACACAGCAGGCAGCACCACAAAGTGGCCCGAGGCGGTTTTTCACAGGAAGCCAATGAGCACGCTGTGAGGTGCAGAGCACTGGGCTGGGGCATGGCCCTTCTCGGCACCAGCACCCGCTCCACACACCAGTGTTCCCCTTGGCCACACTGAAATCCAGTCTAAAGAAGTCATCCAAGTAAAAAGCCAATTCTGACCTTACATAAAAATAGGAACCCCAAACCATCTAGGTCTCTATCACCAACTATCTCCAGATTCTTTAATTTTTCCAAAATCAGACAAGGTGTGGTGGTTCATGCTTGTAATCCCAGCATTTTGGGAGGCCAAGGCAGACTGCGTGAGCTCAGGCGTTCCAGACCAGCCTGGGCAATACAGCAAGATCCTGTCTCTATATAACAAAAAAAAAAAAAAAAAAAATTTGCCGGGCATGGTGGTACATGCCTATAGTCCCAGCGACTATGAGGGCTGAGGCAGGAGGATCGCCTGAGCCTGGGAAGTGGTAATGAGCCGTGGCCATGCCATTCCACTCCACTCCAGCCTGGGCAACAGAGTGACTAGTTTCAAAAATAAAAAATAAAAATTTTCCAAAATCACATTTCCCAAAATCACATTTCCCCCCAATTCTAGAAATAATATCTACCGTAAGCAAGGAAAAATACAGGAAAATAAGGTTTTCCCTACAGCCCTATGATCTTTCAGCAATAACTGTTAGCATTTATATATTCCTTCTACTCTCTTTTAAAAGTGTTTACATGGGAGGCTGAGGCAAGAGAATCACTTGAATCAGCAGGTGAAGTTGCAATGAGATGAGATTGCACCACTGCACTCCAGCCTGGGCAACAGAGCAAAACTCTGTCTCAAATACATAAATAAATAAAAGTGTTGACGTAATTTGAGAACACAATGCATATCCTACATTTTCATGCATTAAAATACATTTCCTTATGTTATTAAAAACTATTCATAAATGTAAGTGTAATGTACACATATGAATTCTCTTACTGATCATTTCTGATGCAGAATGTTAGCATAACACTCTGACGACTGGCTTGGTGCACAAAGCCTGTATACTGTGAAATTACTTATTTAGGAGAGATTTCTGAGAAGAACTGCTAAGTTGAAGAGTATGAACCCTGTAAAATATCTTAGCACATACCACCAAACAGCTTTCCAGAAAAGTGGTCACCAGAATGCATCAGTGCTTGCTTTGCCACGTCCAAACCAGCACTGGCAGAAAATCACTTTGGCAGAGTACAGTGGCTCACATCTGTAATCCCAGCACTCTGGGAGGCTGAGGTGGGAAGTTCGAGACCAGCCTGGGCAACATGGCGAAACCCCATCTCTACACAAAATATAAAAATTAGCCAGGCATGGTGGTGCTCACCTGCAGTCCCAGCTACTTGGGAGGCTGACTGGGAAAAATCACCTGAGCCTGGGAAGTTGAGGCTGCAGTGAGCCACGATCATGCCACTGAACTCCAGCCTGGATCAGAGTAAGACCCTCTCTAAAAAAAAAAAAAGAGACAGACAGACAGACAAAAAGAAAAATTACTTTTTTGAGATGGGAGTCTTGGTCTGTCACCAGGCTGGAGTACAGAGGTGCAATCTCAGCTCACTGCAACCTCTGGCTCCCAAGTTCTAGCAATTCTCCTGCCTCAGCCTCCCTAGTAGCCGAGACTACAGGCACGCGCCACCACACCCGGTTAATTTTTGTATTTTTAGTAGAGACGAGGTTTCGCCATGTTGACCAGGATGGTCTTGATCTCCCGACCTTATGATCCACCCACCTTGGCCTCCCAAAGTGCTGGGATTACAGGCGTTAGCCACCTTGCCCAGCTGAAAAATTACTTTTTCACATGTGTAATCTACACACACACACACACACACACACACACACACACACACAACCTGCCATTAGAATCGGGTCATCAAAAGTTATTTTCCAGGTAAGGAAACAAGGCTTCATCAGTCCATAAATATCATTAGATTGCAGAACTAAAAGGGATCCCGCTTATCCCCTGAAAATGTACACAACTAAGTAGAAGCATACATTTTCCCCAGGGAGAGTTCATGGCTTCCATCAAGGTTTCTATGACCTTCCCCCAAATGCTAAGAAACCACAGTCCGCAGGCAAAGAAAACCAGGCTCACAGGTGTCTGTAACTCGCCCCAGATAAAGGCTGGCAGAAAGCAGGCTGGTGTTTGGCCCTAATGCTAACCCTCTTTCACACTGGGGAGTTAACAGTAGAGTCATCAAACAGCAAATTGTTTTTGTCTTTAATCTACTAGATACTTTCTAAGGAAAGTAAGACATGTTGAGCTTCTCTAGTGTATAATATAATCCCTCCACCACAAATTAATAATATAAGCCACTCTGGAACCCAGCCCCGAGATTTCAATGACTGACTTAACTATTCACCAATCCTCAGTTTTACCAACTATAAAACATGGATTCTTGCTATTAGGCCGAGTTTTGAAAGCTCAAGACTCTCGTATGCAAGTGCTCTGGAAGTTGGAACCTTCAAGTCAAATAGCTCATGCTCTGGCCTGTGAACGAGGCCGCCCCCACACGTCTATTCCTGGCCTCCTGCTGCGGTGCAAGACTCAGAAGCCACTCCTGTTCAATGACAAGAGGGCTCATCAGCTGACTAATCCAAGTGCCCCCTACTCCTGCCCCCCAAAATAATCCACATCACTTCCAAATAGTTACTCCTCCCCACCTATGAGAAGGGCTTGTTTAGCTCAGCTTTCTGTACACGACATTTTAGACTATTTCTAAATAGTCCAGTGACCCCAAAAAACCACATGCCCAAAACTGTGACCATAGTAAAGAACTTTAAAAATCGACCTCTAGTTCATTCAATTCCTGTTCAACTGTTTTTGATTCTCCATATATACATGGTTATGGTTAGAAATTCAAAACCTAATATTACATTTACACATCTTCAAAAACAGTATGAACAAATTAAACTTTTTTAGGCTATATTTAACTCCAAAATTAAGTGATTTCAAAGTTTCCCAAAAGATCAAGATATCCCTATCCACAACACTCGCGTAACAGGCCACAGCTCGCACTCCAGGGTGGTTTGTGGCTGGCTTCAGTGCTCAAAACCTTTTCCTTAGCGTTAACTGCAGCCCTGGTGTGACTCCTTTACAGTATTTCAAACTGAACCACACAGAGTCCAACCTCAACAGGCAGATGGGCCTCTAGGCTTTAATACTCATGCATACCTTTAAGGATCAAAGGAGCCAACATGGAATGTACCCAGTTACATAAAAACTC